TAGCGCCTCCCATCATACTTTTTCCTTCGTCTATCGACACCGGTTTTTGAAGGTCACACTTCTTAAAATATTTTGAAAATGACACTGTTTACTGATTGATATTAAGTACATTTAAAAGGATATATGCCCATGTCTGCATATTATACATACATAATAAGTCAAATGATTATGTAGAACCTAATATAAATTTTCGTAATATTCTTTAACCATTCGAACACATGCTGTAAATAAAACACGAGATACTTCCCCATATGTTATTCGCCATGGAACACTTTTGGAGGCCTGACTATGCCCAAGATTAAAGCATAAATGGTATAAGAAAAACGGTAACTATTGTTGCCTTACATGACATATCGTATAAAAGGGCACACACGAAAGATAAATCTGAACCTCGCTCTTCTAACCGTGGACCTATTAATATGAAAGCATGTCAGTATTAAAGCTTAAACTAGTGTAGATTTTCAAAATTATATTTCTGCTGCTAGAGCAGGTCGATCAAATAAAAATGTTCATGTTTTCCTATATTTCCGAACCGTAAGAGATATTTCTTAGAATCATATCATCATCATAGTCGTAGAATTATACTACATTACATATCCCAATAAATATATGTATATATATATATATATATATATATATATATATATATATATATATATATATATATAATATATATATATAATGTGCATATACACATTATATATATATATATATATATATATATATATATATATATATATATATATATATATATATATATATATATATATATATATATATATATATATATATATATATATATATATATATATATATATATAGAGAGAGAGAGAGAGAGAGAGAGAGAGAGAGAGAGAGAGAGAGAGATGTATATATATGTATTATATATATATATATATATATATATATATATATATATATATATATGTATATATAGAGGGGAGAATAGGGAAGAGAGGGGGAGGAGGCAATAGAGAAGAAAGAGTGCAGGGAGAGAAGAAAGTAGAGGGAGAGTATAAGGTAGAAGCAGAGGAGAGAGTAGAGGGAAGGGAGAGAGGAGAGAATAGAGGAAACGGAGAGAAGAGAGAGAGTAGAAGGAGGGGGGAGAGAACAGAGAGTACAAGGAAGGAAGAGAGGAGCCAGTAGAGGGAGTGGAGATAGGAAAGAATAAAGGGAGGAGAGAGAGGAGAGACAATAGGAAGGAGAGGAGAGACTAGAGGGAGGGGAGAAAGGAGAGAATAGAGGGAGGAGAGAGAGGAGAGAATAGAGTGAGGGGAGAGAGGAGAGAATAGAGGGAGGGGAGAGAGGAGAGGGCAGAGGGAGGAGAGAGAGGAGAGAATAGATGGAGGCGAGAAAGGAGAAAATAGTGGTAGGCGAGAGAGGAGAGAATAGAGGGAGGGGAGAGAGGAGAGACAATAGGAAGGGGAGAGAGGAGAGAATAGAGGGAGGGGAGAAAGGAGAGAATAGAGGGAGGGGAGAGAGGAGAAAATAGAGGGAGGGGAGAGAGGAGAGAGAGGAAAGATTAGAGGGAGGGGAGAGAGGAGAGAATAGGAGGAGAAAGAGTAGGGAATAGAGGTATGGGAGAGAGGAGAGATTAGAGGGAGAGTAAAAAAATGAATGCTTACGTTTTTTTTCTCTCTCTTTTCGTGTCTGTTTGCGTGTGTGCGAACATTAGCGTACACTATAGCTGTAATTACAAAAAAAAAAAAAAAAAAAAAAAAAAAAAAAAACGCACACACGCACGCACTCTCACACACATTCACATACGCACGCATACACAAATACGCACTCACAAACATAAATACGCTGAGCACACTAACAGTTTACCTCAAACTCGCGCACGAACGCACACACTCACACACACAAATATGCTATACAGAGATCTCTCCCAAATGATTTCTCCCTCCTCGCCGGGGCCGAGTGGTTCAGGGCGCCAGGTTCAGGGCGCCAGGTTCAGGGCGCCAGGTTCAGGGCGCCAAGTTCAGGGCGCCAGGTTCAGGGCGCCAAGTTCAGGGCGCCAGGTTCAGGGCGCCAGGTTCAGGGCGCCAGACTCGAGTCCGCGACCTACAACAGGGACTGAAAACGTCTTCCTCAATTCGCAACTTGCCCGAGGCTGAAGGACATGGAAAGCCCCCGGACTGAAGGAACCAAGTCGCCCAGGCTGCAGCTCTTTTCCTGCTATGTATATATATGTGTGTGTGTTTGTGTGTGTCCTTCCAGGCTGCACCATGTGTAATTGATAGGTAAAAAAAAAGGAAAAGAAAAGTAAAAACTCATGTAGGACGTCAAAACAAACCCTCATTCAGTAGTTTTGCTTCCGCTGAAATAGCTTATTCGAGAGAGAAAACTATAATTATAATCAAAAGCAGGAGTCGAGTAGAGAAAATGGCAAATAACTAAATGACTTGTCAGTTACCTATCTCTATGTAAATATTGCGATTATGGTAGTGAGTTTGAACTGGGAACTGATTGGGATTGTCTATGCTTATGATCCATTCCTTGGCCGCCGACATATCTGTAATGTCCGTCATCTTTTCAGATTCAAATTTTACTAGTTACCTCTAAGGCCCGTACTTTAAAAACCTTTCGCCAGGGCTGGCGAAGGGTTTCGCCGGGCGATCCGGAATTTCGTACTTTTAAAATCATGCCTGGCGAACGTTCGCCAGGGCTGGCGAAAGATCATATTGGAACAGCCTGGCGAAGAGAGCTGTTTGAATACCATTTTCTTGCTTTCAAATTATAAATTAGTAACATATTTGTGTTTAATAGGATGTAGGAATCACATTGAAATTATAAAATATCTTAAAATCATAATTTGTTATGAAATAACGTATATACGTATTTTTTTTCAAGACCTTCGATGTTCCAGTCGAGAGCTCAAGACATCAGCTGTTTTCCTACCCCCCACCCCCGAGATGACTTATTTAGATTTAGGTTGTTATTTTGGTTGTAAGGATGATGTTCTATTCACAAATGTTACCAGAAGTGTTTTTTATGGCGGCATGTTTACTTTTGGCTATAGAAACAGAGCTGTAGTGCTCCACCGCCCTATAATGAGGCGTCTTTAATGATACCCTTGTAGGCCTACAGTTCAATATCTTACATCAGTTAGGAATAGTAAAATAGTAATTTTTAAACTCTTGTTAAAGTATAAAGTTATTTTTTGTATAAAAGTATAAGGTTGATATAGTATAGTATAAAGTACTTTTAAAACCTTTCGCCAATGCTGGCGTTCGCCTGGCGAAGCTTCGCCAGGCGAACATCTGAGTGAGGGAGGCCTTACTTTTAAACTAAGGCAGGTGTTCGCCAGGCCTGGCGAACGAAAGGGATCGCCAGGCGCTAACATCATGGATTCCTGATAAATCTAGCGCTTCGGCGAATGAAAAAAAACGCGAGAAAAAGCAAAAGGTTTTAAAAGTACGGGCCATAAAGTTAACCTTGTTATAGTATAAAGTGTAGTATAGCATAAAGTATAAAGTTAATTTTGTTATAGTATAAAGATATTTTCAACTTCTTTGTTATAGCATAAAGTTAAATTTTAACTCCTTTGTTATAGTATAAAGTGAGACTATTGCGGAAACATTTTCGTCTTCTCTCGAGGTTAATAATTAAGTTTAGGTTATGTTATGTGCACTGCAGATGTAAACAAATTTGCGCTACATTTAGCGGGAATGCAAGATGTTAGCGCCTGGCGAACGTTGGGTTTAAAAGTAAGGCCTCCCTCACTCAGAGGTTCGCCAGGCGAAGCTTCGCCAGGCGAACGCCAGCACTGGCGAAAGTTTTTAAAGTACGGCCCTAAGACTGCGGTTGTGTAAATTTGTTTTGGATTTTGCAGGTAGGAATCGAGGCCTGCGAGGACGCGACCGAAGCCGGAGCTGAAAGGAATCATCGACAAGCACTGCGAATATCCTGCGTTGAGAGCCATCGCCTGGCCTGTGTTCCACTAGTAAGTTGTTTGACGTTGCAACTATGTGTTGATACTGACGTGGTATAGTATTTATTTGTCAGACAAGGAGAGATGAAAGGGAGAGGAGAAAGTAGAGAAGAGAGTAGAGAATAGAAGGAGAGGAGAAAACAAGGAAAAGAGGGTGAGGAGGCAATGGAGAAGAGAGAGTGGAGGGAGAGAAAAGAGTAGAAGGAGGGTACAGAGTAGGAGCAAAGGAGAGGTAGTGGGAGGGGAGAGAGGAAAGGGTAGAGGGAGGGGAGAGAGTAGAGAGTAGAGGAAGGGGAGAGAGAAGAGAGAGTACAAGGAAGAGAGGAGACAGTAGAAGGAGGGGAGAGAGGAGAGAAGAGAGAGAGGGGAGAGAGGAGAGAGTAGAGGGAGGAGAAAGAGAAAATAATAGAGGGAGGGGAGAGAAGAGAAAACAGAGGAAGGAGAGAGAGGAGAGAATAGAGAGAGGGGGAAGTGGATAGAGTAGAGGAGGGGAGAGAGGAGAGAGTAGAGGGAGAGGAGAGGATAGAGGGAGGGGAGAGAGGAGAGAATAGAGGGACGGGAGAGAGGAGAGAATAGAGGGAAGGAAGAAAGAGAGAATAGAGGAGAGGAAGAGAGAGAGGAGAGAATAGAGGGAGAGGTGAGAGTTGAGAGAGTAGAATTAGGGGAGAGAGGAGAGTATAGAAGGAGGAGAGAGAGTAGAGGGATGGTAGAACGGAGAGAGTAGAGGGAGGGGAGAGGGGAGAGAATAGAGGGAGGAGTTAGAGGAGAGGAGAGGAGAGAGCTGAGGGAATGAAGAGAGGAGATAATAGACGGAGAGGAGTAAAAAGAGAGTAAAGGGAGGGAAGAGATGTGAGAATAGAGGCAAGAGAGAGAGGAGAGAATAAAGGGAGGGGAAAGAGGAGAGATTAGAGAGAGAGGTGGGAGGAGAAAGTAGAGGCAGGGGAGAGAGAAGAGAATAGAGGGATGGGATAGGCGAGAAAATAAAGGAACGGAAAAGAAGAGTAAGTAGAGGGAGGGGAGAGAGGAGAGAATAGAGGAAGGGGAGAAAGGAGAGAATAGAGGGAGAGGAGAGAAGAAAATAGGAGGGGAGAAATGAAAGAATAGAGGGAGGGGAGAAAGGAGAAAATACAGGGAGGAGAGAGAGGAGAGAGTAGAGGGAAGAGAGAGAGAAGATGATAGAGGCAAGGGAGAAAGGAAAGAATAGAGGAAGGAGAAAGAGGGGAGAATAGAGGGAGGGGTAAGAGGATAGAGTAGAGGAGGGGAGAGGGAAGGGAGAAAGGAGTGAGTAGAGGGAGGGGAGAGAGGAGAGAGAGGGAGAATAGAGGTAGGAGAGAGGGGAGAGAGTAGAGAGAGGAGAGAGAGTGAGAATAGAGGTAGGAGAGAGGGGAGAGAATAGAGGGATGGGAGAGAGGAGAGAATAGAGGGTGGGGAGAGAGAGGAAAGAGGAAAGAATAGAGGGAGGGGAGAGAGGAGAGAGTAGAGAGAGGAGAGAATAGAGGGAGAGGTGAGAGTTGAGAGAGTAGAATTAGGGGAGAGAGGAGAGTATAGAGGGAGGAGAGAGAGTAGAGGGAGGAGAGAGAGAAGAGAGAGGAGATAGAGTGAGAGAGAGTGAGAGAGAAGAGAGAGAGGAGAGAGTAGAGGAAGGGGAGAGAGGAGAGAAGAGAGAGTAGAGGAAGGGGACAGAGCAGAGAGTATACGGAGAAGAGAGACGAGAGAATAGAGGGAAGGGAGTGAGGAGAGAGTAGAGAAGGAAAGGAGAAAGTGGAGGTAACATAGTAATCAAAGAAGAGAGTGAGGGGAGAGGAAAAAGTAGAGAAAAGAGGAAGAGGAGAGTAGAGAGAGAGAATAAAGATAGTAGAAAAAACGGAGAGAGTGCAGAATAGAAGGAGAGAGGAGAGAGTGGAGGTAAGGTAGTAATTACAGAAGAGAGGGAGAGGAGAAAGTAGAGGACAGAGAGAGAAGAGAGATTAGAGAGAGGGGAGAGAGGAGAGGAGAGGAGAGGATAGAGAATAGGGGAGAGGAGAGAGTAAGGATTAAAATTCAAATTCAAAACACTTTATTTAATTAATTATAATGGGTACTGTATTAACATACACATTATTTACACTATGTAATAAGATGCAATGAACAGATGTTATACAATGCTTGTGAAACAAAATTACACAGAATACTAGTATCATAAGTAGATGTTCCTTCACGGATTATTACTTTTTGTATTCGATCTCATATATAAGCAGTTATTTTGCCTTGTATGGACGCCCGTTGTGTAACCTGTTTTCTGTATAGGTAATGTCCTATTTGTAGATTCTGTGTCCTCTGTATTTTGTTTTATTTGTGGACACAGTAATTAATAATACTAAGTAATTAGCAATTCATAATAGTAAGTAATAAGGCAGTAATTCATAATACTAACTATTAGACAGTAATTCATGATACTAATTAATTAGACAGTAATTCATAATACTAATTAATTAGACAGTAATTCATAATAGTAATTAGACAGTAATTCATAATACAGTAATTCATAATACTAAGTAATTAGACAGTAATTCATAATACTAAGTAATTAGACAGTAATTCATAATACTAAGTAATTAGACCATAATCCATAATACTAAGTGCTAGTGTTTGTATAACAACAATTCTTGTTTCTCTGGGCATTTTATTGTTAGTGTGATTTAACAATATATGTGTCCCCATTACTTTAGCGGTTGGCCGTTCGTGAGTCTACCGAATTCTGTAAAGAAATGATTAAAGTGTTCTATATTAATGGACTTTAAGGAAATGTCTGTATTTCGTTTCTTACTTGGCTCTAGTGGTTTAACCAGCCTCCATGTTTCAGCTGAATGTTTCTACATTCATGGAACTTGCTTTTAAAATAATTTGTTTTCACACAATGGATGAGTGTTTTCTCAATCCTCTTCTTGTGTTTCTATTCAGCGTGAAGGGCGGTGTCAGATCTGTTTATCTTGAGAGCTTTGTGAGTATTATTTCTATCATTTATAGCTATCTTGATTTCATTTATCCAAAGGGCGGGAGGACAATTTACCGTTTTAGATTTAATAGGAACGGAGGCGCTTATGCTGTTCTTTATCACATCTGTTAAAATGGTATTTTGTCCGTCAACATTATCTGTTCTAAAATATCTAAGAGGTTTTGGTGGCTTTTCTTTATTTAAAATCAAGGTTAAAAGCTCGTGATCAGCAATTGGGCATGGAGTAGCGTCTGTGTGAATAATAACATCGGGTCGGGTCTGTTTGTTATTAGGACATCTAATATAGATGTTTCTTTCTGTAATCCTTGCAGGCTTGTTTATGAGTTGTTTTAATTTATTTTCATTAATTATCCTAGTTAAATTTGTATTTGATTTGTTTAGATCATCATTTAAACGACCTAAGATAAACACGGATTTTCTCTTTAATGGCATTTTTCTGAAAATACTTTCAAGATACTCAGAAGATTCTGCAGTAAAACGTGGGTGTCTATAGATTGTGCCGCCGAGGAAGGCAGGATGCATCCTACTTTGTACGGTTACCCAGATGTCCTCCGCTGCTGTATTATTTACAATTGTAGAGATCGTATTGACTGAAGGGTATCTCTTACGTATATGCAGACTCCAAATCCACGACCTGCATCACATTAGTAGACATGAAGTTCTCAGTATCTTCCTCGTTCGTGTCAGGATGGCAACTCGTGATATACAAGTACACTACCTGAGGAAGGTCGGCACCGTGCAAGGGTTTTGGTCTAGTGTTGGCGGGAACGGAAACTTCCTCATCTTGGTGGAGTTGCGACGGCTCATTTGTTTGTTGCTGTGTTTCCGTGCTTTGTTGTTGACCACGAGTTTGTGCGCTTGTGGAGTAGTAATGGTGGGGGGGGGGGGGGCAGGTACTCCAGACACGTGGTGGTGCGTTGCATCTTCCCAGTGGCGGTTTGCTGGAAGATGTTTTTGCTTGTTTTCCTTCTACTGTTCTATCGTAGCTTCTTCTGGATGTTACTTGTGTAGAAGCTCCGTTCCCCATACCAGTTATGGACGTCTCAGCGTCGTTATTGGGGATTAGCTTGCATGGCTCCTGACGAGGGCAGGCTGGTGCGCCAGCAAGGTTTACTGGGTTTGGGTGGGAAGAGATGGAGGGGACGGGTGTCAGGGGAGGGGGTGGAGGTACGGCGGACCTCTGACCTTTTAGGACGTTAAAAAAAAAAAAATAAAAGAAAAAAAATAGGTTGTTGATTTTTCATTTAATAGCATTATATTTTTGTTAACAGCAACAGCACTAAAAAGAAAAAATCTTCTCTTTTGCAGACCCGGGAGGATGGCGACCAAGAAGGTACTACCGTTCGCACGCATCGCTCTCCCTTCCCCTTCTTCTCTTTCTTGTATTCATTTGTGTTTTCCCGCTCCCCTTTTACTCGCTCCCTCTCTATACATATCTCTGTCTACCACAGCCCACAATACACACTACCTGTAAATGCATATGCACATACAAATGTACATTTGCACACACACACACACATGTAGATTTATATATATACAAATACATATACATACTTATATGTATATATATATATTATATTTATATATATATATATATATATATATATATATGTGTGTGTGTGTGTGTGTGTGTGTGTGTGTGTGTGTGTGTGTGTGTGTGTGTGTGTGTGTATATATATATATATATATATATATATATATATATATATATATATATATATATATATATATATATATATATATATATATATATATATCTTGTTAAATGATTCGTGTTATTTCACTTAGCTTAGTCGAGGTATTAGCTTAGATTTAGATTTACTTAGCTTACTCAAGGTATTAATTTCTTCTTGCATTTTATAATTAATATCTTAAATAAAAAAACAACAACATAAAAGGCAAGTAAAGTTTCAATTTTATATACCAAAACAAAGCCAATGCCAACACTGAAATACAAATAATTATCTTAAACCATAACTCAAACAATGAATAATAACGATGCAATTCACAGAGAAACACAACATCAATAGTTCTGGTCGTGAACACGGTCTATACTTGTCAATCTTCCGTAGTAAAAATTCCACAAAATTCTTGTCACAGAGTAGCGAGGTTAGATAGAGCTGAACAGGTGAATGGCTGAACAACTCTGCCTTTGTCGTTTTTTCTGTTTTTGCTTTTTTACTCTTGTTGCATTTCTTGGCTACCAACCAGCAGCATATGGCCAAGCATGTTAAGCTAACGGATGCTATTCATTCTTTCAATCTAAATAAGGTCATAAAGTTTTGTCTCCCTTAGAAAAGCGATTACTTGACATTATTTTTTCATCCTGATAATAAATTTATTAAGGTAAATTCTTTATTTTAAATTCTGAAATAATTTTTGGGTGTTGTCTATTATAATTATATTTTTGACATAAAGTTATTAAGTGATTTATGGTTTTGCTGGTATCGCAATCTGGGCATTGAGGAGGGAAGGCCTTTTCTACGTAGGGAGGGAGGCGTGTCAATTTTGTGGGCGGGGCAACACCACCTCCTCCCTTCTGACTTTTCTGTGGGCTGTGTCCCACACTTCTATGTTTTGCCTGACTTTGGTGGTCACTTGCAGGTCGGTCCACTCACTTTGCCACAGATGGATTTTTGCTTTTATAAGGGACACAAAACACCTGAGATCTGTCCGGACTGTGCTAAGGTCCAGATCGCCAGTTGACCCGGCTAATCTGTCAGCCTGCTCATTGCCATGGATACCAGAGCACCATATCAGGTTGACTGACTTGTTGGCACTATGTAGCATACGAATGATTTTAGCCAGTAGTTCATTTTTAGTGTTTTCTAATGATTTAATGGCTTTAAGTGAACTTAATGAATCGGAAAAAAAACTATTCTATCGTGGGTCGTCGATACTGCAAAATTAATAATTTTATCAACAGCAAAAAGTTCAGCAATAAAGATCGATGTAGGGCTCTGACAATCTCATCCATTGTTAGATCTTTATTGTAATCAAATTCGAATCCTGGTTGCAGCTCAGCCCCCTCCTTGGTGGTCAGGAATGCGGGATGGTAATTGTCTGAGCTG